ACATTCCTTCTGTTCAGTGGGGCCCATGAGGAAGTTAGAATATTGGGGGTGGGGGCAGCTTTATTAGGATTCTATCATTAAATTAATTTTAACAAAGCATATCTACTGTCAACCATTACTGAGTTCATTCTTAGAAAGACAAAGAAAATTAGTCTGAATATGAGTGTTCATTTCTCTCAAAGCTTACAAAACATGCACATGGAGATACGCATGGGAGCTCATCATGAGACAATGAACCCAAAGATGGACCAAGAGGATTTTTATATGTTCAGAGCAATTCCTTCTCATACCTCCCTGCCCGTGCCTATGTCAGCCAAAATTATGGTCTCCTAATATTTAACCATGATACGAGAAAGTAATTTCTTAAGTGAATAGATTGTAAATACAGTAAGATAGGAGAATGTCAAAGTGTCAATTAAAATTATGGATCCAGGATATCTGTGTTTCCTTTACCATTAACATGACATAACATAGCATATGTCCATAAAATACTAAGATAAGAAAAGTCCCACTATTTAAGGTAGTGTCTGAGTCAAGGTGCCTTAGTGGTCATGAACAGAAGAATACTCTTGGTCAGCTTCAGCTGTTGACACAGGAAGGGGCATTTTTAGTTCACTCAGAGAGCAAAGTAATGCTTGTCCAGAATATGCAAAGCATTATCGTAGAGTAAGCCCAAAGTGGTCTGAAATGTCTCTCCTGATTGGCCAATCCAGTTTAGGCCTTTCTCAGGTGTTGGAGTTCAAAATGGTTTTGGGGAGGGATCTACACTACAAATAATGTTCACAAATTTACAGATGTAGAAATCTTATTCTCTGATCTCAGTGAGATCCTAAACTTCTTGAAACTTTCTTTCCTTCTTCCTACTGACTTTAACTAAAGCCCTATCAACTTATTTTAAATTTGATTTATTCTCACTATTTTCTCAAACCCTCACAATTTAATACTTACAAATCATATATTAAACCTATTCTCAGAACTAGTTTCCTTTGAGAAAAATGATTATTAATAACCAATGATTTGAGGAGATCCAGAGTTCCCCCCTTTTCTGTAGTCTTCATTTCAAAACTCAGTCTCTGAAGGTTGAATTAACTTTCTCCACAATCATGGTCAGACCTCACCCAACCTTACAAAGAATTTAATATAAGATGAGGGAGCCCTTTGTAATCTACAACGATATGAGTGGGGATAAATTCTTTGAATAGATTGCCCAAGGCTGGGCAGTTTAAAAGTAAGTGACATAATAAAAGTTCATTAGCATAGGTTGGGGGGGAGGGCCTCATTGTAATATTCATTCTTTCTCATTACTTGTTAACCGGAGTTGATTGCCACTCTCAGGAACACCCCTCTTCCAAGACATATAAACTGTGAGCTCACCATCACCATTTAAGAATGCCACTGACCTTTTTATTAATAAAATGCTAGCATTATTAATAAAATGATTGATTGCCCAGAACTTAATATCTCTCAAACTTTTTAAATGTCAATCTTTACTCCACCAAATCTCTCCTTTTTAAATTAGCATCATATGAATTAAACTTGGTACTTTTCCCAGATGGAAAGAGAAGCTCCTTAGAGATCACAGAAGCAGTCACAAGGTCGTGCAAATAGACTGTCTTCAATCTGAATGCTACCAGAGATCCTATCATGAAGATCTCGACTCTTAAGAGCTTTCCTGCCCTATTTTTTTTTTTTAATTTTTTTTTAGGCAATTGAGGTTAAGTGACTTGCCCAGTTAAGTGACACAGCTAGTAAGTGTCAAGTGTTTGGTCTGAGGCCTGAGTTGAACTCAGGTCCTCCTGACTTCAGGGCAGGTGCTCTATCCACTGCCACCTAGCTGCCCCCTTTCCTGTCCTATCTAGATATCCTAATAAAATTTGCTAAGGGCCTCCTGATTTCATACCAAATCTTTTCACAACTTCTCAGAAATGTTTTCATGGAAGCAAAGTCTATTCAAATTTCTATTAGGTGACTTTGCTTTTAATTAACCTAGACAATTTAGTTTTGTGAAGTCATTCGTAGGAGTAAGATAAAATTATCCTAAAATTAAATTTTGTATTTTTCTTATTTAAGAAGGCTTCTTTCTTCTGTACAAGATGGAAAGAAAAGATGATCTTAAGCACTAGATATGACTTTTTTTTTCCCTTTTCTCTGAGAAGCTGTCTAGGAGCCTATCTCCAGCAAACAGAGTGTGACAGAGGGGGTGTTTTGTATAACAAAAAATCTCCTTACCCCCAAAACCCACTATGATTTCACACCACACTTTCAAAATATTTAATGTATGGTAAATAGGTTTTCCTTCAGTTAATTTCTACAAAAGGGAAATCTTCCTCATAAGGAGCATAAGGATGTGTCAACTTCAATTAGAGAGAAGCTGATATAGCAAAAGTCATGATCTTTATCATGTACCCAAGGAGGGGGCTGGGCAGAGGGTTATTAATAAAGTATTAGAACAGAGGGAGAGGGATACTATTCTCAGAGTGGCCAGTCTGCAGGTGGGGATGGGGTAGGACGTCCCATGGTTTGACAAGGTAGGTTGTTCTGCACAACAACTAAAAGTCCATAATGAAATTTGGGAATCTTGGGAGAGGAGAGTTAAGTATTTACAAAATAGAGGTTGGGCCTTAGTCAGATTCAGCCTCTACACCCTTCTGGGAACAGGGACAAGGTCAATTTCAGTCAGCTAGTAGTCAGCTGCATTTGACACTACTAATTAACCAAGACAGTGAAGTAATTAAAAATGACAGACAAGTCAACCTGAGAGACCCACCAAAAACAAACAAAAAACAAAAAAAAGATTTCTGACTGCCCAATGTAGAGTTGAGGTTTATATCAGATTTCTGTTCTTTAACCAAACCAGATCATAAGAGATCTCAAAATTGATTGCTGAGCACTCAAAGCAGAGGTATGTCAGTTTTTAATCAGAACAGGTCAAGACTATCTATGAATGTAGACAGGGATGGTAACCATGACAGTATAGTAATGGCCAATGAAAGAACATTGTCTTGCTTATTTGACTTAAGGAAAACAAGATGAAAGGGAACAGAATTTGGAAAATACCTAGTCTTAGTCTTAGACCAAGTATCCAACCATAAAAAGGAGGGATAGAGGATACTCTTCTATTTAAGACCCCAAAGCTTCTCAGCCCAGCCCTGGCTTCTGACTCCTTCTGACACCATGCTCATCAAAGACATCAGTGAGGCTTCCAGTCTAAGCACTCTAAAATTCAATAGTTTATGTGTGATTATTCAAAGGATAGATGAACAAGTAATACAGACAATACAGGCAAGAATAGAGACCACTAACTTCTCTTGTGATTTTCTAGAAGGAATAGCAACTTTTATCCGTAGTTGAATTTTTCAGCTCAGAAGTTTCCCTAAGCAGATTTTACTGTGTGTGCTGGGTGGTTTCTGGACTAGAAGAATTATTCCTATCCCTTTGTGGTCCATCAATTTGATGTAAATTTATTCAAGGATTCATTTATAGGTACTGCTGCAATATGCAGGGACATTTTGATAACTGGCTTATTATATGTTTGGAGCAGTTCCAGTGGAGACAAAAATCAGTGGGCCCCAAATAGGATTTTCTGCAACCTTTTAAAGGTTTTAGCTACAAGCCAGGATAGAAACAATTAGAATTTTACAGAGGACAAACAGGAAAGTAAAGATTTATACATCAAAGAAGTGATGGCAGAAGGGGAAGATCTGCAATAGGCAAAATAATAGATTGGCAAATACTAGGGGATAAAACTGGAATTTGCAGACAGGCAGAGCAATAACTAACCAGATCGGAGGAGGGTTGTAATTGATGCCTGTTTGGTTCTGCAGACCCTAGCTAGTTGATGTGACTAGCTGTTTTAATGCAATGATGGTCATAAAGCAAATATAGAAAAATCCTCTTACCACAATACAAAAATATTTTTAGCAGCCATTTTTGTGGTAGCAAAGAATTGAAAGCTGAGAAGACTGCCATCAATTAGGGAGTGGCTGAACAAGCATATGAATGTGATGGCATAAAATTGCGCTGTCAAGAAAAGGTGAAGGGGGTAGTTTCAGAAAAAACTTGAGAATCTGTATAAACTGATGCAAAGTAAAATGAGCTTAACCAGGGCAACAATTTATGCAAAAACAATATTGTAGAGATAATCAACTCTGACTTAGTAACTTTGATCATGACTAACTACAATTTCAAAGAACTTGTAATGAAACAGGCTATCTCTCTCCAGACAGAGAAGGAATGGACACGTGTGGATTGAAACCTTTTCTTCTCTTTTTTATTTTGTGTGTGTACATGAACATGGCTAATGTGTTAATTTGTTTTGCATGACTACACATATTTGTAATGGATTTTGTTTTTCTTGCCCTCTCAATGGTTTGGGGAGGGGCAAGAGAAAAGAGAAAAGGTGAAATTGGAAAAAAAAAAGGAATAAAGTATATGTGCTTTAAAAAAAAGTATGGAAAAAAAAACCTGTTCTCAGTGATAGGAATACAAAAAGATGGTCTGTTGCCCCTGAGGCAACCACGTGGTCAGGTCTGGGGTGGGAGCGGGAAAGGCCCCACGTGGGAGGAGGGACTTCAACTAAGCAGGGAAGGAAGCTGGGTATCGATGGGTTCGAGTATAAGAGGCACCAGCCACATGCTGGAAGCTGCTTGGGTGGAGACTGGGTTTTCGGTGTGGTCTTGGTGTGCCCAGGGTCTGGCACAGGGCCTCGCTCCAAAAGGAGGCTTAATAAGCCGACTCTCGCTGGCGACTGAAAAAGACTTGGCTATCTCCCAGCAGCAGTCCTGTTTTGTTCTAGGCATGCGCACAAGACTGAGAAGTCTACTTCCGGAAATCCGGCCCCAAGACCCTACTTCCCTCAGGGTAGGGCGGGACCCTGGATAATTGTTGCCGGGAAACATCTGGTGCCAGGGCACCAAAGTGCAGCATCCTGGGGCTGTGGAGCCAGTTGAGGGAGAATGGCCGGAAGGGGCGGGAGGAAGTGCGCTCCGACGTCTCTTCCGGTTCCTCTCTGCTGTCACTCAGGCAGCCTGGCCTCATGGACTTGCTTTGTGTCTCCTCCTTGTTCCCTGTCCCGGACCCGGGAGCTGGAGCTCCTCCGGCCTTCGGCCCTCCCTCCGACCCAACGAGTCCCGCGGCCGCTCCTGGCGAGCCGAGCTGCCCCCAGGGATCGGGGGTGTGCGCTGAGCGGAGCCGGCTGCCAGGCCCTGCCTCGGGGGTCTTTGTGAGCGCGGGGTCGGGTGATTCTCTTGGCAGGTGCCTGGTCGGGCCCTTTCCTGGGCTCGCCGCCCCCCGCCGGCCCTTGAGCCTCTCTCGCTGCTCCCCGTCTGCGGGGAAGGAGAGCTGGCGCAGCCCCGGGTTCTGCTCCCCTTGAGCCCCCGCCTGCCACGTCCTGGTCAGGCTCCCCGCGGTCCTCACAGCGGCTTTGGGGCTGGAGCCGCAAGTGCCCCTCGTGTGCCTGGTCTTTGAACCTCCGGGGTCTGGGTTGTTCGTGAGCTTCTTCTGCGGGAGGAGTGGGGTGAGAGGGACTGGTTCTGCCCATGGTCTGGAAGGAGCAAGGTAGTCTAATGCTTGTCTTGGGCCGTTTTTCTTTCCCAGTTCTGCCTTCTGAGCTCTCTGCCCTTCTCCAGGGTGGGAATGGCCCCTGTATTCCTGACAGCGCCAGGCTGCAAAGTGAGTTCAGTTTGTTCTTGAAGAAATACTTGTTTCTTAATCTTTGACCTAGAACCTAAGAAATGGGGTCTATCTTGTTTAAGCCAGGCATTAAATCTCCTTGTCCCCTAGCTTCTTCCTCTGTAATTGAGTTGAAGTAGATGGTGTCTGAAGTACTAACAGTTTTAGTTATGTGATCTAACCTCCTCAGAAGGACAAATTTAAGGCTGAAGTTGATCATAATGTATTACAATCCCATCATTTTAGAAGGAGTTTATTAACTGAAATGCCATAGAAATGTCAACTGTTAATATTAAAGCATGCCATCTTGGGAGTACTATAGTAAGCATGTTTGAATTACCCTGAAATGGTGCAAATAGAAAGAAATAGCACTAGACAATGTTATCCAACAAGAAGTTATACTTGATTATGAATGGAAAGGGATTATATTGTTACCTCTAATTGGGAATCAGTAATATTGATATTAATGTTGGATATTTAATTATAAAATCACATTATATCAAATGTATAAATTGGGCATTTGATAGAAATGTCTGATTTGTGTTCTTGTAATGAGGTGATGTTGTGTCACTTAGCCTTTCTTAGGATCAGTGTTCCTATGTGTGAAATGAAAATAATAAAGTTTTATCCTATCTCATGGAGATTTAGTGGGAAAAGTACTTCACAAATCAAATGTACAATAGGCTTATGAGTTGCTCTTGTTTTTTTGTGCGCAATGTAAGATACATAGATGTTATTTGATATGAATTTGACTTGGAAGCCTAAATATCAGGAACTACCCTTTAAAATTTCTACCATATTTACCACTCCCAGGAGGTCCAAAAGAATTCAGTGACATTCAAGGATGTGGCCGTGGATTTTACCCAGGAAGAGTGGGGAAACCTGGACCCTTCCCAGAAAGAGTTGTACAAGGATGTGATGCTGGAGAACTATAGGAACCTTGTCTTCTTGGGTAAGGAGAGCTATCCCCTATGACGGATTCTTTCATAATGGAGTTTTGGTCACTTCACTTAATAAATCAGCATTTTCTACATGGTAAACATTTGAGAGTTACTGTTTGACATGTAGAAACCAGTTGCTAATCCTCTTGTTGTCATAGATTGATTTCTTCTGCCCTTTAGTCCTTGATGAAAGGTCCTTACTGTGTTTAGATGAAACTGGATAGTTATTTGTGTTATATCTGAGTTTGTTTCTTTCCATTCTCTGTCTATTCAAGTCAAAGATTCTCCACTAAAATCCTAATGCAGGTGCCTGAAGATGAAAAAGTTTCGTTCTCTTAGAGGGGTTGGGTTAAATGTAATTTTTTTGTAATGTCAAATCATCTGTGTCTTTTCTCCATCTGTTTCTGAAAAATAATATAGAGGATTCTTTAGATGAGTTTTCTACCACCCTTAGCACATCCCTAGAATTTCCATTTACTCCAGATAGTGATTGGGAATAAGATAGGGGTGTCTGTCCTCAACCTTTTGCCTTTCCAATGAGCAGGACTTACAGTTTGGAAACCAGATGTGATCTCTCAGTTGGAAGAAGGAGAAGCACCTTGGATGCAGAATAGAGAACTACCAAAGAGCACCTATCCAGGTTAGTCGTTGAATAGCAGACATATGGGACCTTAGAGGCCATCTAAGCCAGATCATTATTTTACTTATTAGGAAGTTGAGACACAGAGATTTGCCCAAGTTTCATGGGTGGTAATTTTCAGAGGCAAGTTCTACACCCAGATTCTCTAACTCCTGAGCCAATGCTCTTTCTGCTATACCATCCTGCCTACAGTATGAAATTAAGTAGCTTGACTGATTTCTTTCTCTAGTTTTAGTGAGGCAGTTAAGTGGTGCAGTAGATAAGAGTGCTAGACCCAAAGTTAGGAATACCTGAGTTCAGATCATAAACATATTAGCTCCTTGGTTCTGGGCAAGTCACTTCACCTCTGTTTCTTTCAGTTTCCTTATCAGTAAAATGGTCTGCCTCAGTTCCCTTCTCAGTAAAATGTGGATAATAATATCACCTACTTCTACCTATCAGACTTGTTTTGGGGATAAAAGAAAGTAATATTTGTAAAGTGCTTTGCATATCTTAGGGTGCTAGAGAAATGACAACTACTACTATTACTATTACTGCTCTGGCTCTTCTAGTAATACATTGCATAATATTGGGAAAATAAGGGATCCTGCTTTCAGCCTTGACTTTATTGAGAAATATTCCAGTGTTTGTGTGTTATAATTAATGTCCCATCTTAGTTTCAAATATATACTGTTATCATTTTTAACAGCAAAACTAAACATAAAAAAATGAAATAATGTAATATTTCCTTTTTTTTGTGAGGCAAATGGGGTTAAGTGACTTGATGCAATATTTCAAACCCACAGTTTGACCTCTACAAAACCTTGCAAAGAATGGGGAAGCTGCTATCTTGTATTTTTTTTTTCCTTTAGAGTCAACCTGGGCAATTATAATTTCATGAGCTCTATTTATGATTGCTTCGTTATTATTATATTTCCATTTACAACAGATTTATAGTATACTTTTTCCTATTCCAGCTCATTTTGTATTTGTTCCTATGTCTTCCCATTCCTCCTTATAGTCATCATAGTCATTTTTTTTTAAAAAAGATTGACAAAGACTACAACCTATCAAACTCCTTTCTTGATACAACTATAGTTTCAGTACCTAAACCAGAAAAGGATAAAGTACAAAAGGAGGAGTAGAGACATATATTACTAATGAAAATTGAGTCAAGTTTTTTTCATCCTGGCAAAAAGACCATGATAATATAGCCAAAAAATGATTCATTAAAACCAAGTTGTACTTGTTCCAGGGGTGCAAAGATGATTCACTATTTGGAAAACAACATAATGAATCTTATTGGAAACAAAAACATCCAAACCACAATTATATCAATGGATCTAAATAATATGTTTGACAAATTATAACATTAACTATGCCTTAAAAAAATCAAACTACAAAACAGAGAATAGAATGAATCTAAGAAATTTTATAGCTAAAACCAAAAGCTCTTTATTCAATGGAGAAATGCTAAACGTTTCCCATTAAATCAGAGGGAAAAAAAGGATGCCTTTCTCTTCTGTTATTTGCTAGGGATAGAAATAAAACAAAAGTAAGAAATAAAAAACATAAAAATAGGCAAAAAGGAGTCAAAATTATTCCTATTTGCTGATAAAATGATGGTTTACATAGAAATTGCAAGAAAATCCACAAAGAATATTGAGATGGTCAGCTTCACAGAAGAGTAGGTAACAAAACAAACTTACAAAATCATTAACACTTCTCTATAACAATAATAAACCCAAAAATTTTCAATAGAATGGGGCATCACATAAGAATTACAAAATAAATAAAATATGTAGGAGTCAATCTACAAAGGCACTCCCAAGATCTATACTTTTTGGATAAATGAACAATTTAAATATTTGAAGTGTATTCAATGCCTATGGCAGAATAATAGAATAAAAATGACAATATTACCTAAATTAATTCAGCAATGTAATACTCTTGCTTATCAGACTACCACTGAGATACTTAATAGAGCAAGAAAAATAAAAACATTGGAGCAGCTAGTTGGCGCAGTGGATAGAGTACTAGCCCTGAAGTCAGGAGGACCTGAGTTCAAATCCAGCCTCAGACCAAACACTGGACACTTACTAGCTGTGTGACTCTGGGCAATTCACTTAACCTCAATTGCCTAAAAAAAATAAATAAATAAAAACATTTACAGAAGTATAAAAATTCTGGAATCTAAAAGGAAACTTTTAAAAACAATGAAAGGGAGGCAGCTAGGTGGCACAGTGAATAGAATTCTGGCCTTGGAGTCAGGAGGACGTGAGTTCAAATCCAGTCTCAAACACATGACACTAGCTATGTGACCCTGGGCAAGTCACTTAACCCCAGTTGCCTCACCAAAAAAGCAATTCAAACAAACAAAAACAGTGAAAAGGATAGCACTTTTATTTTTATTTTTTTTATTAATTTATTTTTAGTTTTCAACAATCACATATGCTTTTGAGTTTTAAATTTTTCTCCCCTTCCCTCCCCACCTCCTTCCCTAAGATGGCATGCAATCTGGTATAGGCTGTACATATACATTCCTATTAAACATATTTTCACATTAGTGATGTTGTAAGGAAGAATTAGGACCAATAGGAGGAATCACACGAAAGAGGAAACAAAACAAAACAGAAGGGAAAAAAAAGAGCAAATAGTATTCTTCAATTTGCTTTCAAACTCTGTAGTTCTTTCTCTGGATGTGGATAGCATTTTCCATCATGAGGCTTTTGGAGATGTCTTAGATCCTTGCATTGCTGAGAAGGGCTAAGTCTATCAAAGTTAGTCATCACACAACATGGCTGTTACTGTGTATAACATTCTCCTGGTTCTGCTCACTTCACTCAGCATCAGTCCATACAGGTCTTTCCAGGTTTTCCGAAGTCTGCCTGCTCATCATTTCTTATAGCACAATAGTATTCCGTTACATTCATATACCACAACTTGTTCAGCCATTCCCTAATTGATGAGTATCCTCTCAATTTCCAATTCTTTGCCACCACAGAAAGAGCTGCTATAAATATTTTTGTGCATGTGGGGCCTTTTCCCATTTTTATGATCTCTTTGGGATACAGCCCTAGAAGTGGTATTGCTGGGTCAAAGAGTATGCACATTTTCATAGCCCTTTGGGCATAGTTCCAAATTGCTTTCCAGAATGGTTGGATCAATTCACAACTCTACCAACAATGCATTAGTGTTCCAATTTTCCCACATCTTCTCCAGCATTTATCATTTTCTTGTTTTGTCATGTTGGCCAATCTGATAGGTGTGATGTGGTACCTCAGAGTTGTTTTGATTTGCATTTTTCTAATCAATAGTGATTTAGAGCATTTTTTCATATGACTGTAGATGACTATAATTTATTCATCTGAAAAGTGCCTGTTCATATCCTTTGACTGTTTATCAATTGAGGAATGATTTGTATTCTTATAAATTTGACTTAGTTCTCTGTAAATTTTAGAAATGAGGCCGTTATCAGAGACACTGGTTGTAATAATTCCCAGTTTTTGCTTCCCTCCTAATCTTGATTGCATTGGCATTGTTTGTGCAAAAAATTTTCAATTTAGTATAATCAAAATTAGCCATTTTGCATTTCCTAATGTTCTCTATCTCCTGTTTGGTCATAAATTCTTCTGTTCTCCATAAATCTGACAGGTGAACTATTCCTTGGGTTAGCATTTTTATACCTCTTCTTATACTAGAAAGAAGTAGTCAACAGTAATAAAAATAGCTAACATTTATATAATGCTTGCTATGGGTGAGGTACAGTGCTAAGCACTTTACAATTATTTTCTCATCTGATTCTTACAGTAACCCAGGGAGGTGTCATTTGGTACTTATTAAAAACTAGAAAAGCATTTCAGTGGAAAAAGACTAGGTAATAATGGATCAGGAGCAGTAATACTGGACAACCCAATGTTAAATAAGCCTAAGAACAAAAATTTATTGAGGAAAAATTAGCAATTTGTCAAGAACTGCTAGAGCACCTGAAAGAAAATGGGCTAGCTAGAATTACTTTTAGACCAACATCTACAAAATATTACAATAAGTTCAAAATAACCTTAGTGATCATACTTTTAAACAAAATAAGAAATACATAGACCAAATAACTTTCCCAGTAGTGGGTGGGGACAAAAATCTTATGCACATAACAGATTGAAGCAATCACAAACTAAAAAATAAATCATTTCACTTTAATGAAATTGAAAAAGGCATTAGCATTAAGGATCAGCAATTAGGATAAGAAGGGATGATGCCTCACTTGTGTCTGATATCTTGGACAATGACATGCTATCTGAGATATAGAGAACTAACACAATTATATAAAACAAAAGCCATTCCTCAAAGTTTGGATCATGGATCAATCAAAATTTATCTATTATTTCTCATCACAGATTTCCTTCTGGAGAAAATCTCCATAAGGTAACAGTATTAAATATTTCTCCAAATCTGTAATGAAATAAGAAATGTAAATCCAAAGAAAATTGAGAAAGGTTAAAAATCTTAATCCAAAGGAAGATTGAATAAGTCACAATTGAACTTTTAAAGATAAAACAAAAAGCAGAACTGAACAGACACCCTGATCCTGGTCAAGTTAACTGAATGCTCTTAGGTGCTTAACAAGCAGTAGGTAAATAAATGTTTTCAATGGTAGAGAAAGAAAGAGACTGTAATAAACTTACCAAATAGGTTCCTCATACCAGTTCCAGTAAGAGATAAAGTAGAGAAAGAGAACTAAAGATAAATAACTATAAATATAGATGTAGGAAATGTTATGTAAAGTTTGAATAAAACTTATAGTAATACATTAAAAATTATAAAAAGTTACAAAAGGCAATTTTTTTTTGTTTTGGTGAGGCAATTGGAGTTAAGTGACTTGCCTAGGGTCACACAGCTAGTAAGTGTCAAGTGTCTGGTCTGAGGACAGATTTGAACTCAGGTCCACCTTGCTCCCGGTCCAGTGCTCTATCCGTTGGGCCACCTAGCTGCCCCTAGGCAATTTTTAAATGGAGAATTAAGGATTTACTTTATGTAGAGGATAAGATTTACTCTATTTTACTTTCAGATTCAGTAGGGAATATTTACATTTTCATTTCTTTCAGGTTGGGAAACTAGGCCTGGAACCAAGGACACAGTTTGGGAAAGATTCAGAAAGGATGGTTTCCATGACTCTAAATTGGAAGAACCCTGGGAATATCATGCTAGATTGCAGGGGCTGCAGCTTAACAATGCAAAAAAATATTCTAGGCAAGTAAGAACGATCACTTAAAGGAATTTTCTGGCTAAGCCAATCCATTTACTTTAGATTACATCTATATATGAAAATATCTTCTTAAATTTGATAAACATTGATAGGCCTTTGTACAATATTTAGGCTTAAGCAAATTAAAGTAGAACATAATGAATATGAAAATGTGTTCATTTATAATTTAGATCTTTTCAATTATTTAGAATATTTATTGGATAGAAACTTTATGAATGCAATACATGTAGGTAAACCTGCAATCAAAATTCATCTGTTACTTCTCATCATAGATCCTTTTGGAGAAAATCTCCATACAGTCTTTTTTTTTGTTTTTGTTTTTGTTTTTTTGTTTTTTTGGCTAGGCAGTGGGGTTAAGTGACTTGCCCAGGGTCACACAGCTACTAACTGTTATGTGTCTGAGGCCGGATTTGAACTCAGGTCTTCCTGAATCCAGGGCCAGTGCTCTATCCACTTCGCCACCTAGCTGCCCCCATACAAGTCTTAAAGTGTAAAGCTTGTCTGCAATACATACCTTGTTGAATATCAGATAATTCATAGTAAAATGAATCCTTACTTAGGTAATAATTGTGGGAATGCTTTCCATTCCAGCTCATACCTTACTCAACAGCTGACCCTGCATACTGGAGAGAAGCCTAACAAATGTGAAAATGCTTCCTGCTGCTGCTTACAATTTACCCAACATCAGAGCCTATATACTAGCAAGAAGCTTTGTGAATGTCATATATTTGGAACAGCATTCCCCTCTAGCAAATACATTAACCACCAGCAGAGAAATAATAGTAGAGAAAAGCCTTATGAACATAAAGATTGTGAGAAGGCCTTGAACAGGAGTTCACAGTTAACTGGTCATCAGGAAATTCATACTGTAAAAGATCCTTATAAACGTAACATTTGTGGGAAAGCCTTCTGTCAGAGTTTACAGTTAACTGTACATCAGAAAATTCATACTGGAGAGGAGCCTTACAAGTGTAAACTTTGTGGGAAGGTCTTCAGCAGGAGTTCACAATTAAGTGGGCATCATAGAATTCATTCTGGAGAGGAGCCTTCCAATAAATGTAATATTTGTGGGAAGACTTTCCGAAAGAGTTCACAGTTAATTCTACATCAGAGAATTCATACTGGAGAGAAGCCTTTCAAGTGTAATTATTGTGAGAGGGCCTTCCGCCGAAGTTCAAGGTTAACTCAACATCAGAGAATTCATACTGGAGAGAAGCCTTATGAATGTAAAGATTGTGGAAAGGCCTTCCACCAGAGTTCAGGGTTAACTCAACATCAGAGAATTCATACAGGAGAGAAACCTTACAAATGCAATGATTGTGGAAAGGCCTTCCGCCGGAGGTCAAAATTAACACAACATCAGAGAATTCATACTGGAGTGAAGCCTTATGAATGTAAAGATTGTGGGAAGGCTTTCCACCAGAGTTCAGGATTAACTCAACATCAGACGATTCATACTGGAGAAAAACCTTTTAAATGTAATGATTGTGGGAAGGTCTTCCGCCGGAGTTCAAAGTTAATTCAACATCAGAGAATTCACACTGGAGTGAAACCTTATGAATGTAAATATTGTGGGAAGGCCTTCCACCAGAGTTCACAGTTGACTCTACATCATAGAATTCACACTGGAGAGAAGCCTTATAAATGTAATGATTGTGGAAAGGCCTTCCATCAGAGTTCAGAGTTAACTGTACATCAGAGAATTCATACTGGAGAGAGACCTTACAAATGTAATAGTTGTGGGAAGGCCTTTTGCCGCAGTTCCAAATTAACTGCACATCAGAAAATTCATACTGGAGAGAAACCTTTTAAATGTAATGATTGTGGGAAGGCCTTCCATCACAGTTCTGAGTTAACTGTACATCTGAGAATTCATAATGGAGAGAAACCTTACAAATGTAACCATTGTGAGAAAGCCTTCCACAGGAATTCAGAGTTAACTCGACATCAGAGAATTCATACTGGAGAGAAGTCTTACAAATGTAATGACTGTGGAAAGACCTACTACTGGAGTTCAGGGTTAATTCGACATCGGAGAATTCATACTGGTGAAAAGCCTTATGAATGTAAAGATTGTGGGAAAGCCTTTCATGGAAGTTCACATTTAATTCGACATCAGAGAATTCATACTGGAGAAAAGCCTTATGAATGCAAAGATTGTGGGAAGGCCTTCAGTATCAAAGTACACCTTACTCTGCATCAGAGACTCCACTCTGGGGAGAAACCTTATAAATGTTATGAATGTGGGAAGGGCTTCCATTGGAGCTCACAGTTAAGTGTACACCAGAGAATTCACACTGGAGAGAAACCTTACAAATGTAATAGTTGTGGAAAGGCCTTCCCCCAGAGTTCAGAATTAACTAGACATCAGAGAATTCATACTGGAGAGAAGCCTTACAAATGCAATGATTGTGGGAAGGCATACAATCAGAATTCAGAATTAATTCGGCATCAGAGAAGTCATACTGGAGAGAAGCCTTACAAATGTAGTGATTGTGGGAAGGCCTTCACCCGGAATTCAGAATTAACTCGGCATCAGAGGATCCATCTTTGAGAGCAGCTTTATGAAGTTAAGTGTTATGGATAGGTGATATCAAAATATTCTTTACCAGATATCAGAGACTTCATACAGAGGAGAAGCCTTATACGTCAGAAAATTCGTAGTAAAGAGGAACTTTACAGACATTTATTGAAAAAAGTTGTAGAGCCCATAATTCATTGAACATCAAATAATTTATACTGGAGAAAAACTGTGTAAATGCAATGATTCTTGAAAAGCTTTTTACTGGCTTCCAATTTAGTCAACATCTGAGAATTTATATGGTAGTGAAACATTCTAAGTAATAATAATGATGAAGGATCTGCCTAGATAGCAAAATCTTACCGATGAGGATTCATATGGGAGAAAAGCCTTACAAATATATAATTGTGGGAAGGTCTTCCATTGGAGTTCATCCTTTATTCAGTATTAGGATACTTATAATGGAGAGAAGCCTTATAAATATAATGAATATGAAAAGAACTTCCACCAAAGCTCAGAGTTTATAAAACATTATCAGAGACTATATAAGGAAAAGTAATGCTTTTTAAATGAAATGATTGTGGAAAGACATTCCCTAACAGCATATACCTTAGCAAACATCAGAAACAATACCCTGGAGAGAGGCCCCATGAATACAATGAAATGATTATGGGAAGGCTTTCCATGAAAACATAATTCTGATTCAACATTAAACTGTTCATACTGAAGAAAACTCATGAGGATAGAACTTTATGAATGTAAATTAATATGAGAAAGCTTTAAGCCAGAGTACCTAATTGAGTTTTGACTTAATTGAGCGCTCAGTTTAGTCTAAATAAAATCAGAGATGAGAAGAGGAAGAGATTTAGAAGAGGCCATTCCAGATGTGATTAGTTCAAAGGAGAAGTGTCATGTACAAGGAAAAGGAAGTGGGCCAGTGTGATAGGTTCAATATCTACCAAGGTTCTCCCACCCCTTTCCCAAGTAGATTGAGCTAGTTGTTGGTTTTTTCCCACTAAAAGGTTGGGAAGCTGTCCCTAAGACTTGATTGGTGCAGAGGGCTAAGGCTCAAATTGTCTAGCTATTAAAGTATTTCCATGCTGGCCTCAAACCATGTGGATGTGGTTTCTTATTCACAGAATAATATGATCCTGGACAAGTCAGCACCTATCTCACAGGGATATTGTGAGAATAAAATACTGTAATAGTCATAAAGGATTTAGCACAGTTCCCAGCATGTAATAGGCACTTAATAAATCTTTGTTTTCTACCTAAAGGCATGAAATAAGCACATCTATGTAGCCTCGGACCCTTCAGACTCCCAAGGCCACTGGAGTCACCCTCTCTTCTCCTGACCTGACTTATTTCCACATGAAGATATAGGATGTCTTGTTTTTACAAGACAACTGGATTCTTACTGAGCCTCCTTTTTATGTTATGGCTAATTAAACATCATTTTGTTAACTGTTGAGTGATCCATTAGTGTCTCATTTGATTCCAGTATTAGAGCTAAACTACTAAGTGACTAGCTTGGATCCATCTCTGTTGACCGGATTTGTTGTTTATTGTTTCAGTCTACTTCTTGACTCTTTGAGCTGTTCAAGTTCCTGACCCACGTGTGTGTCAGTCAGCTTGTCCTTGTTTGGGAGTTTCAGTAGACTAATTGTAAACTTAGCCAGTATTAGTTTATTTGGAGGCTCTGGAAGTTGTGACCAAACTATAGGATCCCCTTTGGTCTGGGGACTCCCGCCTTGGCTTCCCCTGCAGGTTTCCACACTGGGCTAGAGACTGGAATTGAGTCTCCACTCTGAGCCTGAGACATTTTGCTTCTGGAACTTGTCCTTGCTCAACACACAGCTAGGGTTGTATGCCACTCCTCTCTGCCCTGAATTTGTGACCTGGAAATGGGTAATGGGAGACAGAGCTGCCATATGGCATCTTTTACACTCTATACTAGTTCAGGCATCCCCTGGGATCCCTTTTCTGGTGCTTCGTGCCCTGATGCAGTCTCAGCCCTCTTTCAGTCCCTGGGCACTGGAACATTCCTTCTTCAACAACTGCTGAACATGTCTTGTCGCCAGTGTCCGTAGGCAGTTTTGTTTCCCTAAGCTGCTGTGGGCTGAAAAGATGACTCACTGTGTTTTTTTCCCTTTCTAGTTTTCCCAATCAGAATTCAGTCTGATGTGTTTTCTAGATTTTTGTGGAGATTTAGTGAGGAATTAGGCTGTATTGCTTCCTCTTGCTCTGCCATCTTGACTCCACCACCTCAGCTCACGGAATTTGGCGTGCTGAGTAGAGAAGTGGCAAGGAAGGCTAATAACAATGAGGGTAAATTATTTAATTGCCAGATCTGCCATTTCGTGATTGTTTTTAACTGTTAAAGAGAATCTGAGGTGCCAGCATAAAGAAACTGCATGTGTTTATTTGTTGGTTTTGTTTTGTTTTGTTTTGGTGGGGGGGCCCTAGGCAATGGAGTTGAGTGACTTGCCCAAGGTCACACAGCTAGTGTCATTTGTCTGAGGCCAGATTTGAACTCAGGTCCTCCTGACTCCAGAACCAGTGCTTTATCCACCACGTTACCTAGCTGCCCGTAGGAAACTGCATTTGAAAACTGCATGGCCCAGCACATTCAGCAGCTAGAGAGAGTTCTCTGTTTTTGAAGATTGTGGAGTAAAGGGAGATACTCGACTGTAGGAGCTGGTAACAGGCAGCATAAGTGGAAAACAAGATGCTAATGGAGACAGAGAAGGACAGGGCTTAGATGAGAACTGACAGACCTATGGAAGTACAGATTCTGATCCAGAGTTTTATTAAAAAATATTCTGCATCCAGCTGAAATGAGTGCTATAAGGCATGAGATTGAGAACAGACGTGAGGATGAAGCTTGGGAATCTGTGGTTAAAAGAAGTCATGGATTTCCTATTACTTCTCCCCAAACCATGCAAAAGTTTTTATGCCAGAGAAACCAGAGGGTAGGCAGGTATTCACCAAGTAACTAGGAATTTTGTAAGAAAATTTAAAATGGCATCCTGATGAGATTCTAGAATGAGCTGTGGTTTGACAGAGCCAATTTGTATATCCACATTTGAGTATCGCAGATTCTGCAAGGTTTTAGAAGTTATTCTTTTCCCAGACCAGTTATATTAGGTAGATGCTCCATATAGAGGCTATACTTTGTCCCTTTTTAGTTACCTTAGACAGACAGTAGTGCATAGCTGGCCCCATAAAGAGAAATTTCCATTGCATCTGGTTCCTGGATGAAGGGTGGGGTAATTCTGCAAGAGAGGGGTTGGAGTTCCGGATGGAAAGGGGGTTGATAGATTAAATCTTTGTGCCATGTGCCTCCCTAAGGCTTTAAATACTCTATTACCAGTCTGAATTGGGGCAATCTAAGCCTGCCTTCTGGACAGAGCCCCATCCAAATGGTATCATTCTTTAGCTATAGATCTCCCTTACCAAAAAATCATACAGGATAGTGCAGTTCAGTGGATTAAATTTGAGTGGGACATTGGGAAAGTGATGAGGGCACATAATTTTATCCATGCACATAGATGCTCTGGGAATGTGAGCTGAGGCACAGGGCCTATTGTTCTAGTCTGGTCGGTAGAGGGGTATTGATGGCATTCTCCCTGAGAGATATTTGGGAGTGACTCTCAAAAGATGGGGTCGTCATATTTTACAATTTACTGTAAAATGGATTCAGAATCCCACCTCTTTTTCTTACTCTCTTTGTGATCTTGGGCAAGTCAGCTAACCTCTTTGGGCCTCAGTTTCCTCTTTTGTAAAGGTAAAGAGTTGAATCAGATGATTACTGAGGTCCCTTCAGCTCTAAATCATAGAATTTAGGTTTAATACATATTTTTGCTACATATTCAATCTTGTTAGTACATTTTCGGCAATAAACAATCTTTACAAATGCGAATAAAAATGTTTTCAATATGTGCACATCGTTTTGTCCACTTTCCTTGTCTTAGAGGTGAAGCAATGAATACCAAGAAAGGTTAAAGTGACTTGCTGAAGAAATTAAAAATAATTTCATTTCTATCAATGAGAAATGATTACTTTGGCCATTATATTTCTATGTATTAAAATACTAGTCCTTTGTAAGAACTTACAAAATAGATTTTAATAATCTTATTAAACTTGCCTTTTGTAAACTAAAAAAAAAAAAAAGATGGGGTTGGTATAAGAAAGTGATTGATTTCCTGCCTATGGATGTGTTAGTAAAATTACTTTGAAATAAAGCATTGGGGCAGTAGGAGCCTTAGCCCCATGTGAACTTAAGTTGTGTCCCAAAAACCCCCACTCCATTTGTACATAAGTATTCTGGCCACTGCTAGTCAAGGTACTCATCAGGGAACCCCCAATAGGCCAATTGTTTCTCCCTCCCTCTCCCCAGTTTCCACAGGTAGACAATTATAAGAAGTGGTAACTAGTTTTTGGAGAGGTGGCACTTGTACTGGGGACAGCCAGGTGGCACAGTGGGTAGAGTGCTGGGCCTGGAGTCAGGAAGAATCATCTTCCGGAGTTCAAATCTAACTTCATACACTAGCTGTGTGACCCTAGGCAAGTCACTTAAACTGTGTTTACCTCAGTTCCTTCATCTATAAAATAAGCTGGAGAAGGAAATGGTGAACACTCCAGTATCTTTACCAAGAAGACTCCAAGTGGAGTCATGAAGAGTTGGACACGACAGAAAAATGACCAAAAAGGGAAAGAAACCTGTACTGGTCCTTTTGGTTATTGTGGGTAGGGCAAAATGGAAACCCTTGGAGTTGCTCAAACCATCCCATCATTAGCACCAAATACTATCAGGTGGTATTGGGGTGGGGTCAAAGAGATTTCCTTTCTAATGATGGAGATAAGGTAGATTACTTTGCTTTACCAAAGTCCCTTTATGGCTCATGAGGAAGGTAGATGACACCTAGTGACTTGTAGTAGACAACAGGGAGCTAAACAAGTTGTCATTCTCATTATTGCAACTGTTCCAGACCACATCAATGTATTGCATCAAGTAGCTTA